CCGGAGAAGAAGGCGGCGATCGTGGGGCTGCTCGGCGCGCCGAGCCCGGGCTGCACCGCGAAGGAGCTCGCGCGCTGGCTCGCCGAGCGGCTCGAGAAGATTGCCGCGATGCGGGTCTTCCCGACGAGCTGGATTTATCGGATCGTGTTTTATCTCTATTGCGTCTCCCTCAACCCCGTCTTGAGCGCGTGCTGGGATGACTTCCGGTCCCTCGGCTTCGGCGGCGTCCACGCGTCGACCTTGGCGAGGGTTCTGGAGGTCTTCACGTCCTGCGGCGTGCACGAATTTTACCTCCCGTTGCTCGAGGAAATGCGAAAGGAGCCGATTGTGATCAAGCTAATGAGTACCTCGGATAGTGAGACTGGCAAGCTCTATCGAGGGCTTCTGATAAACACGGAGAAGGAGACGGGGTGCGATGCGCTGCGGGTGTTATCCATCTTTTGGCATCTCATCGTGAGCTTTTACCCCAGTCGTGAGATGTGGGCGATCCACCGCATGCTGTGCATCTGCGTCTTGCTTCATCTGATCTTCCAAAATAGCCTCGCGCATCTCGATTCAAACACCTATCTATCGAACGAGCACGCTTTAATACTTTTGCAGCGTCATGGGGAGTACTTGGAAGCGCATGAGGCAAGCCGCTGGATGTATATTTTTCAGATCCTAAAACCCCGCGTGACTGGCAGTCCTCTCCCTTCCCTAAGCTCTCTGAAGAGGGCATTGAAATTAAAGTGAGGCGGAGAGGAAGAAGGGCGGCGAGGATGGCGTGGGAATCCGTTAAAGAGTGAAAGGGCGGATGAATTTTTTTAATGATTAAGAGTACCATGCTCTTCTGTAGACACACTCTAGAAAAGGAAAAAAAAACGAGGTGCGTGATTTCAATTTTAAAATTAAGAAAGCATTACCTCATCACCTTTTAGTATACTAGTTACCGTTTGAGACCGAATTTCTTCCATATTATTACTATCCTTGCTGTTATTATTTTTTATTTATCGTCCACGAAAGTAGCTTCAACAATCGTTAAAACTACAATGTTGCTACTAAGCATTCTCTTGATTTTTGCCTCATTCTTACTGTACACTGTGTTATTATTACGCCTTTTTAATTATTTTTTTTTGATCGTTCGATGCAGGGAATTTTAACCAACAGCGACCCACTTACGTCCTCATACTTGCATAGCACTAGTCTGTGTCATCCCATTGCGTTGCGGGTGGCTATTTTTCTCCGATCTTTCTTTTTATTCCGTATTGTTTGCTCTTCCTCTCGCTGTGTGTGTGTGTGTGAGTGTGTGCGTGGGGGCTTCCGATATCGATTTCATAGGGCAGATTTCTTTCTTTTTATTTAGAAACCCACGAGATTAGTTCTAAACCCTCACGGCTCTGAGGCCGATGGGGACGATTATCGTGTACGAAAACGACGACGTCGCCCTGCAGCGGCCGCATCGTCTTTCGCTTCCGGCTATTCGCACCCTCACGGAGCTTTGGGCGTTTCTCACGGCAAATCTCCCGCCGGCGAGGGATCCTTCACGGGGGGGGTATCGCTTTTTGTACAGCCGCGACGGGCGGCCGCTGTGGAGCGTCGCGGAGT